GCATGTGTGTGTATTTATATATACATAATAAATATACTCAGTACACACACATACATTACATAAACAAAAACTTTTATTTTGGATGTGATTAATCGTGATTAATCGTTTGGCAGCACTAATTAAAATATAAATGAATTACTTTAAATTGTAATAACATTCCACAATATTACTATTTTTACTGCATTTGATCAAATCAATGCAGCCTTGGCGAGCATAAGAGACGTCTGAATGATAGTTTATAAGAAAAAAATAAAAAAGACTAACAATCCTCCTAAATGTTGTCCAATAGCAAACAACACCACAAATGCACAACTGTAACCAGCAGTAATGGCTACTCAAACTCATTTAGGCTTGTGCAGGGTTTGTTTGCACTTACACATATGCATGTGTACGTGGGTGGATGTATCTAACATTACAAGCGGATGTTGTGTGCCTGTCATATTAGCATTAGTGTGTTTGCTGTTGATTTCATGTTTGCCCAGGAAGAACTAAATAATTATGCAACATGACAGTATGGACTGGCCTTTCTCAGCGGGTGACCAAGCAACAGCTTAGCAAGGTAAAGACAAAGGTAAAGACGTGCACACTGCACTGCTGCCTCTTTCTCTCTGTATCCTCACTGTGAAATTAAAAACAGATATGTAGACACAGCGAACAGCAAGTGCCTTATGAGGCAGAAGAGCGGAGCAGTGAGGCAGAACGCTAAATGTGCCATAAGCACACACCATGCAAATCTCTGTAACATCACTGGACTAAAATACTCTTAATGGCTATATGCAAAGTAAAACCTGTTTTTTCCCCCCTCAAATTTAGAGATAGCAAATGCATAAAAGGGATTACACTTTGTTGACTGTGCACATGAAGGGGTTGATTGGATTTCATGTTCGTTTTTACGATTATGAGGCTAATTTCTGTCCACGCAACCGAGCGCATCTGCGTGTGTGTATTTGTCTGAGCGAGTAGTTGAGCGTGCGCGAGCTAGTTTATTCATCCGCTGTCAGGACCTATAAAGATGGACGCTGTCAGCGTCTGTGCAGAGAGCGAGTATGTGTGTGCGCACAGGAGGGGGACAGCCAGGCGTAATTTTAGCAGATGTTGCCTGACAATGCCAGGGTGTGTAGATGGGCCTCTAGGGAGGAGAGAAGTGGAGTAGCAGTCGGATTCTGCAGTTGCACATTGCAGTCACCACACGGTACACGACACATCGCCCAGAAACAATGACAGCCCACAAGAGTAAAGTGACAGGGGAGAGAACAAGAGAGAGGGAGATAAAGAGAAACGTTTTATGCACCGCTTGGGCCTTTATCAACCTGAGAAAGACCCCAGAGGACAACTTTATATGCTCAGTTCATAGCTCAGAAGACCAAGGAGGTTAGCTTTGTCTCAAATGCAACATAATCCCAACATATATCCTTAGTAAGAATAAACCAGAAAATAAATAAATCACACTGTGAAAATAAGAAAGAATGAAATAAAGAAATATATAAATATATATTTACAAAAATTTAAAAATGTAAATTAAATTTATAACCATTGCACCAGGCTTCAATGTCACATGATTCTTCAGAAATCATTCTAATATGCTGATTTGGTGGTCAAGAAACTTTTTGTGGCTTTATTCTACTACCGTTACAAATACTTTTATTCAGCACAGATGCATTAAAATATTCAAAAATGACAAGATATCTACAACATAAGATTTTCTATTTCTAATAAATGCTGTTCTTTTGTATTTTCTATTCATCAAATAATTCAAAGAATCAAAGTTTTCAACAATGCTAGAATAAAATAGAAACCATTATAAATAACTGAGCATCAATAATAATTGAGCACCAAATCAGCATGATTTCAAAAGGATCATGTGACACTAAAGGCTGGAGTAATAGCTGATAAAAATTCAGCATTGCCATCAGGAATAAATACAATTTTAAAATTTATTAAAATAGAAAACTTATTTTAAGTCAGAATATTTCACAATATTACTGTTTTTACTGTATTTTTGATCAAATAAATGTAGCCTTGGTGAACATTTATAAAAAAACATTTTAAAAATCTTAATTATTCCTATGCTTTGATATCTGCAGCTTGAACTGTTTTGATGGTCTTAACTGGTTCAATAATGGTCTCCCAGCCTAATCAAGCTGGTGTTAATCTTGTTTTTGCAGGCCAGACCATCTGAAAAGTTCCTTTAAAACAGGCCAACAGACAATCTTAGGCTGGTTTAGGTGATTTTACTAGGTAAGTAAGAGTATCCACATTAATTAGTTCTACAGAATAGCTCAGAAAATTCCAAGTGTACGCCAATAAATGTTTGAGTTCAAATTGAGACTTGCCAAACCTGATCACAGTTTGAAACATTTATAAGACCTCTAGAGGAAATATGTGTGTGATTACCGGGTTTTCTGTCCATTGAAATTGCAAAATGATTACTTTCTAACTTTTGGTTAGAAATCTGGCATCTCCATTGATCTCTAGCCAAGCTGCCCTGAAGGCTAACCGGAAACATTTCCCAATTAGCATGTCCTAACACACTAATCACTAATCAGAGACCATTAAAATAATTGTACACATATGCCCCGAGAGAGCCATATGGCTGCATATGAGGCCTCCATCCCAACCGAGCAACAATTGACAGTCGGCAAGTTCTTTAACATTGACCTCAGAGCTGAACTTTGTTAATACTTATCATTAGATCAGCTCAGATAATCTAGATAATGGAGCTAAATGAGAGCTAATGTGTTCGACCTTGATGTCGGGTTAGTGAGAGCCCAAAGACAGGCTCCTTAATGAGAGAGGCTCTGACAGGGAACGTCAGAGTTCCACATAGAGGAACCTTTGTGTTCCCGCTCACCTTTGTGCATGCGTGTCCCCTTATCTTTCCCCCGAAAGCTGGAAGGGCTTGCACATGTGCCTTTGCCGTGATTCTCAAACACACAAGCAAGGCTAGAGTAATTTTCCTTCGCTGAGTGATTTGTACTCTCAGGAATTCACTGATTACAAAGAGGTAAAATCACTCCTTTGTGTGTGCGTCAAAATGGCCATCTACCTGTCTGCCACTGTTGTCCCAGATTTAAGCCCACAGGACGGGCGACGCATCCTGGGAAACAAGCACAGCAGTAACATGGAGGTGCTAAGGGGCTAAAATTTTAAGCAATGTAGTAAGTGACATCTTCATGGTATTACACCATTTAAAATGTAGGAGTATAGCACAACAAGCCTAAAAAAAAAAACATGTTATGAAAAGCCCTGGCAGCTAATTAGAATATTACAACAGTGTGTCATGGGCCAACACAAACAAAAAGACAAGCTTAGTTATGTGTCTCATTAGGTTCACACCTCAAACACTATTGAGAAGTGAAGTAACAGAGCTATCCACAACTCGTTCAGTCCTCTCTTTCCTCAACAAAACTTGTAAACCTCAAAAGGCAAAAATTCTACTTTCCTTCCTTCCATCTCAAACTTTTCCTCTTGGTAAAACTCAGGGAATGGCATTGCACTGACACAGATGCCATGTGTCACTTCCCTCCACTTCTTTTCTTTCTTCCTACCCTCAACAAAACCTGAAGGAAAGCTCAAAATACAAGAAATGTCACTGTCACTTCCTTCCTTTCTTCCATCTATCCTTCCTTCTTCCCTTCCTACAACAAAACTCAAAAGAATGGGTGCAGTGACAGAAATTACCAGTTCCACAGTGGCTGAGAAAGCCCATTTCTGCCACATAGGGGGGGGGGGAAACATATTATGAGATGAAAAGTCAAAATTGAGATAATTAGTCATAATTATGACATAACTATTTTTGTCATAATTTAAACTTTTATCTCATAATTGACTTGCATAATCTCATGTGACTTAGTATTTCATAATTCCGACTTGACGTTATATCATTCGTCATAACGTTTATTTCAGATTCGACATTCATCCATAAATCTCAGTTTAAGTCAATTTGAATTTGTCATCTCATAATTACAATTTAGTATCTCAATTTTAACTTTGTACATCATGATTATGATTTACCAATTCATGGCTTTTTCCTATGTAGCAGAAATATGCACAAGTATTGCAAAGCATGTAAAATCAGTGTGCAAAGAGCATGTGCAATTTAGTGGCATCACTCCAAACGGCGCAATTTCCCCTGCGAAATGCACACAAAAGATGCTATCAGTCTGGGGCTTCTTGCAGGAGTTAGACAAAGCAAAGCTAATGATTCTCCATCTTATCTATGTGTCAAAAAAGACAAGTCAAGGTGGGAGAAGGGAGGAAAAAGGGCTATCATCCCAATTAACAGCGCTTTATTTTGATTAGCCTTGCATTGTCAATGACAACACCTGAATAATGCAAATAAAGCTGGGTGTTTAATATTCCTTTAGAGTTCCTTTGAAACAATTTTGTTTTTCTCTTTTTCCCTTCAGCTATATTCTCTCCAGATGAGTCACGATTATTACTGGCGAGTTTGTTCCGCCTGTTTAACCGCTAAGCAATAGTAGGCACTTATTTATTTAAAGGAGAGAAAGGTGGACAGACTGCTGAGATAAAGATACTACTGAAGCCATGGACTGCTAAAGGGTGACTTGCAGCTGATGTACCGCAGCCTGGACCACAGAACTGTTTTGCATAATTGACTTCACACTTCACAAAATAAGATTCTCGCTCTGTAACAGTCACAAGACCACACCACACAAGACAGAGGAAAAAGAGACACAACTTAGAAGAAATGGACAGCTTCTTGTTTTATCTTCCAACTCCTGTTTTCCTAAACCATGGAAACATAAAAGGACCGACATCCACTCAAAATTACATTCACTAATTCGCAATCACGCTCCGACTGAAGTTTCTACAGCCGGGAGAAACGAGTGGAAGCTAGACAAGCATGCAAAGCTTAAACTCTTTTAACGAATTTAAAAATATGTACGATAACTTTGCTGCCTTGTTAATACCGTGATGCTATATTTTGCATGATATTCCATACCGAACAACGTATAGAAATGAAATGCTATGCATATATACATATAGGAATTGTTTTAAGGCTGCATTATCCCCTTCTTTGGATTTCTGTCATTGAGAGGAAAACACAGGGACAATGACAAACTTAAGGTACAGTAGAGTCTAATATTTAATACAAGTGGATTTTCATGAAAAAATTATAAAGTGGACAGCACTAACCAATGACAGGAGGGAATGTGACCAAATTAATGAATAAATGGCCCGTTTCTTCCATTAGCATGATGCACCATGAAGTGAGTACATGGAAGAATGGTGTGAAATGACGATTTTTAAAAAAAAAATTCAAACACCTTTATCTATGATCCCTCCCAGTCTGTCTTTCTCCCTGTCTCCCCCCACCTGCACTCAGAACAGTCTGTGAGTCAGCACACAACACACACTGGTCAGTCCGTTGCCATGGTGATGGTGCAAGCTGAGGGCAAAATCGACAGCTTTTAAGAAGCGCAGATGCTGCTAGAATTTAAATGGCTGGCAGTGGCAGGAAAGGCTGCATGTGTATGTGTGTGTCTTTTTTGGGGCCCAGATTAGCTGCCGGCATACAAGGAGCCAATCGAATAGTACAAAAAACCTAACAAGACCTCTGACAACCATCCCTTGATCCCATTCCTCAAATCTAAGGATGGGACCCAAAAAAGGGCTTTGATTGAAAGGACCTGTACAAAACGCCTCATTTTCCTCTAGGGTCATTCGGATACGCCAAGTCTACACTGCTCAAATCCTCTTAGAACTTGATTTTGTTCCTGTGACGTGCAGCATGAATGAGAAAAACAAAAACACACATGAAATACAACAAAAACAATGAATGCATTTGTAAAGCTCAGTGACTCAGTGTTTGGCTCGATCCCAGAGGAGCAATGCTGTAAATGTGTCATATTAATTGTGTTAAGACATGGATCACATACGACTGACATTATTGCATGAATACTATAAAACTAAACTTGCTGAATAGTAAAGAAAAATCAATCCATGTGTCTAGCTATCAACTTAGGGAGCTTGAAATAATAGCTGCGGTAATGCAAGCTCATCGACCTGTGCTCACTGGTACCGAAAGAATTTCAAATAGTTTTTGAAGTAGACATTTTTATGGTGTCGGTTAGTAAATAAAAAGTGAATGTTTACTGGTAAAATGGGATATATAGAAAGGGCAATGTCATAAATAAATATGGGAATATGGAAATTAAATACTGTACCTTAAGAATTCATGTCCCCTGGTGAGTAATTTCAATGTACTGTTTCTGTTTAACATTAAATCCACAATGTAACACCTTCACAAAAGTTTTATTGAAAGCCAACTTGCTTTACTTGTAAAAAAATACAAAATACAAATTGCAAATCAACAGAAACAAAATATCACATAACAGAAATTAAACACAAATGGGGATGTCTGCAGCTTTAAATACAGCTCCACAGATGATACACACTCCACACAGAACGCAAAGGGTCGTATACAACTTGCATGCGTATGCTGCATTGTCTGTAAACTAGCCGCTCCTGCCGGACATCCTTTCAACATTGCATCTTTTCAGCATAACAACACACGTTATTATTGCTTTAAATATGAACACATCTCACTTACAACCAGACTTCAAATGTACAAAATGGAAGATGGCGCCACTATCAAAGCAGCTGAGATCTCAAGATATATCTGGTTGGTTCTATTTACACATCTGGTATTAAGAAAGGTTTGGTGTGTTAAGGACGGCTTAAGCAAATTCTTCTATATAAAGCTATTTAGGTTGTTCATCGCCATTCCACAACAGAACAAAACACATCATAAGGGATGAACACACACACACACACACACACACACACACACACAGGACAGCACATATAGCTGGTTATTAACATTCACATTATACAACTTGCATAACAAAAACACTTTTTAAATGATTGTCTCCAAAGGTTTGCTAACACAGTCCAAGAGAAATGGTACTCATTTTTGGTTTTCTTGTTCAGTACTAGAGAAAAGTACTAGAGAAAAGTGATAGAGTTTTAATGTCAAGTAGCTTGCTATTTACAGTGAACGTGACATTTTTCACAGCCTGGTCGAAAATCCCGCAGTTAATAATTCAACAATGTCCGATGGCACACTCTAACGTCTGAAGCTGATTATTAATCTACATTAAGCCAATCCACTTAGTTGTGTACATAACAAAAAGAAGGCACTCTTTGCATGCACAATCAATGAAGCTTGAGAAAGAATAGGGGAATTGCCCGCCATTAATCTGTAAAAATAACCCACTTCAACTCCAACTAAACAGGGTCCAAATAATTAAAGACATTTTTTTAATGCCCGCCAAAATGTGCCATGGAAACATTCAAATATGTTGAGCTTACTTGTCCGACCTTCCTGTGTATTTTAACTTACTCAGAGCACAGTTTTCTTTATGAAGAAAAAAAAAATGCTTTTTAGAATCATTTTGACACATTAACAATTGTGCAATTATCTAAAGCTAGCCTAACAATAGACATCAAAGCAATAACGGCTATTATTTGTTGTCTTTCAGAGCAAAAAATAAGGCACATCTCTCTGGTCTAAAGGTTATTATATCACAACTGTGTTTCAAAGGTTTTTGAAAGCAGTTCTGTTCATCTTTTGAGGGGCAGCAAATAAACACTGTCCAGCTGAAAACGACCCTCTCAAAGAATATGGAAATAAGACTGTAGGATTGTCTCCTTCATGTAAATAAGTAGTAATTAAATTAAGTCCTTCAGAGCATTTATGATACTACAGAATTGAAGAAGAAGAAAAAAGGTTGACAAATAAAACAAAAATCTTTCAATCAAATGATGTGCATGGGGTTTGTGATCAGTGCAGCTTTGGTTTGACATTCATTCAGTTCCAGCACCTAATACATGCCCTTAGTCCACACCATGTTGCTGTGATACCCGTTGCTGTGATACCCTGTGCTGTGGTACCCTGGGCTGGGGTACCCTGGGCTTTGGTACCCTGTGCTGTGGTACCCTGCCATGCTTTCGAAGTCGTCTCCTACCTGTTTGGTGCTATATTTTGAAGAGTTGGCCTTGTAGCTGTAATCCGAATACTGGTCTGAGCCTGTTGAGTTGTTGTCCCCGGTTCCTACAAAGGTGTTGGTGGCCGGCAGGTCCTGCACTGCCTGGTGTTTCTTTGAGGCAGAAGGTGACTGAGGTTGGAGCTGAATGGATGGTAGAGGAGAATTAGACCGATAGTGTCGCCCCAGGTCTGGGCTCCCAGGGGGATAGTTGAGCGGCAGGTGAATCCTAGGGCTATCGTTGACGCTATCATTCATGAGGTTGAACTTTAGGCCTTTCTGGAGACTCCCCCCCTCATCCTCCTCAGATGGGTTGGCAGGCTTTGGAGCTTTGCTTTTCTTTGCCTTCTTGTTCTTGTTGCTCTTAGGTCCTGGTTTGGGGGCATAGAGGTCTTTGGTCTCCTTCTTGCCTGCCTGGTAGCCACTTTTATTCTCCTTCAGCACGACATGCCTGATGATCATAGCCACTGCAATGATTAGAACGACCACACAAAAGCCACCCAAGACTGCAAAAATAATGCTACTTTGCTGGTCTCGAGAATAATCGGGATCTCCTGCAATGTCCATTTCAAGTGGCGTATAAAGACTGTGTCCAACAAGTCCTTCGACGTGGGAGACATTGCCGATGGTCTCATTGACATAAATGTGAACCAGTGCGGTCGTATGGCGTGGTGGCGCGCCTTTGTCTTTAACTTTTACTACCAGACGGTGGAGACCAATGTGTTTGGATGTGAACTCTTTAGCCAACGTAATCTCACCTTCTGAAGAGATGCGGAACAAGCCATGAGGGTTACCCCCTACAATACTGAACTCCAGCTCCGAATTTAAACCGATGTCCATGTCCTCCGCCTCAACACGTTCTACGTGGGTTTCTGGGCTGGTGCGGGGATCCAAGAACTTGTATGAAGAGTTTGAGGGCTTGGTGACATATGGAGAATTGTCATTCTCATCAAGAACATTAATGGTAATGCCAACATAGGAGGAACGTGGTGGATCACCTCCGTCAACAGCTTTAAGTCGGAAACTGTAGGTGCTCTCCTTTTCTCTGTCGAAGGAAATAGTTGAAAGTATGGTGTACGTTCCATTTTGAATCATAAACTTGCCATTGTCTGGTTCTACAGAGAGTTCAACATGAGCATTGTTGCCCTCGTCACGATCGTTGACTGTTACCATTCCAACGGGACTAAGAGGTGGCATGTTTTCTTGGACTGAAAAGCTGTAACCACTGAGCATAAATTTAGGGTCATTGTCGTTCCTGTCGAGCACCTTAACAACAACAGTGGCAGTTCCTCTCAAGCTTGGTACACCTTTATCAGCTGCTGCGACTAGAAATTGATAGTGATCTAATTGTTCACGGTCCAACTGGCTCATGACACGCACTTCTCCTGTGTTAGGGTTAATTTCAAATAGCCCCTCGGGGACCGATCCACCAGCAATACTGTATGTCAGCTCCGCATTAGTCCCACTGTCGGCATCCGTGGCTACCACATCAAGAACCTTGTCACCTGGCTGGTTCTCCTCAGCAAATTCTACCTCATACAAAGAGGGCGAAAAGACCGGGGAGTTGTCATTCATGTCTGTCACTTGCACCTTCAGGGAATTTGTGCTCGATAGTGCAGGGTTGCCAGAGTCCACTGCCACAATTTCAATCCTGTAGTCTTTGATCCGCTCATAGTCCAGCAGCATGGTTGTCTGGAGGAAGTATTTCCTCTTGCGGTCGTTGCCTGTTTCACTAGCTGAACGCAGCTGGAATGGGACATCCCCTGCCACCACACAGGTTACAACTGCATTTTCACCTTCATCACGATCTGATACCTCCACCAGAGCCACAGCTGTGCCTACAGGCATGTCCTCCGATATGTTAGCGACACCATCTTCATGCGTCACAAGGCCAATGCCCCGGATTCTGATTGAGGGTGCATTGTCATTCAGGTCCTTCACTGTAATAGTCACAAGGGCTTTGGAGCTCTTCGATTGTGGACCATTGTCTTTAGCTTGGACGTAGAACTTGAGCATGCTGATATCTTCACGATCCACCAAGCCTTTGACGAAAATGGTGCCTGTGTTGCGGTCAATGCTAAGGAGCCTTTGGACAATTGGTGATGCCTGGTGGAGGCTGTAGGTCACCTCTCCATTGGGTCCCATGTCAGAGTCATTGGCCTTCACCTAAATCAACACAAAACAAAATTAAACTAAGCAAAGCACCGAAACATTAATTTACAAAATAATCACAGGTTTATACATCAATGTCAAAACAGAAGTTAAAATGCTTGGTCAGGACCATCAAAAATGGATAAAGATCATTGTAAGTAGCAATGAATTAGCATGCCAAAAAATGCTTTACACACTTAAAAAAATACCCTAAACTCATCCAAGAATTACATCAGCCTAATTAATAAATTAACTGAATTTTCTTGGAATTTAAAATAAAGCACAGCTCATTTGATTCCAGAAAACAGCTTGCTCATTCACTAGTTAGTAATACCATAATGCTGTTATTATTCAATTTTCAGTACATAAGGAGAGAAATGAGAAATGCACTTACTCGGAAGGGTTAAATATGATTGGGTTGTGTTTTGTGTCAAGTTAAATTCTCCAAAATTAGCTGTATTTTGCTAGATTAAGTTAATTTGAGACATCACTTAAGTTACTCAGTCTTGGCAGATATTTCTATAAATTTTACTGGTCTATCGTGAACCTGGGAATAATTTTAAACGGCTCTAAATCGAAGTGTGGCTTGATTAAAGCTTTCAAACAAGAATCCCTTGTTCCTGTTACATCCTCTCCTCTTTTCGTCCTTGGCTGTGTATGAAACATGCATGGTGTTTCAGTCCATGTATTACAGCGAACAGCCTTAATCTGAAGCAGTCATAAGATTATTCATGGTGCTTAAGTTATTATTGCTCTATATGAGTCACTCCATTTCATCCTCCATGCAAACTGGGAATTTATTTCATTTAATGTATTTGAAGAGCATTTCTCTAAACAAGCTGAAACACTCCATCAACATTTACAACCCTCTGAAATTACAAAATTAAGCTGTTTTAATACCACTACTGCTTATTTACTTTGGCTTCAAAGGATGCTTATGAGGACTGAGAGGAAAATAAAATCTTATGACATGCTCTTTGAATACAACTTGGTTGCAAAAATTAATTGTTGACTGAGAGATTAACAGTCATTAATACATTTTTTTGCCTGGACACTTGCCTCAGATTGATCTTGGAAAGCTTCCAGCCTTCACGGCTATCCTAATCTTAGCAGTGCTTTCTTTTCCACAACAATTCAACATGTAATTCTCACCGCCAGTCAATACCTCTCTCCTGTTTTGTAAAGCTTGTATTTAAAGGGACCATGAGGGATCAATCGATTGCCTGAGAAAATATGATTTGGCTTTCCCATTTTTTCCGCTTTAACCCTGTTGTGTGGGAACAGAGGCTAAAGCCCATCGGGATAACTGAGACTTCCATTTACAAGAGCTTGTCAGGTTCTGTATGTGGCTATTGCCATGCTGTCAAATCAGCTCCTCTATTACTTATTGCTCAATCTAAAGGTTTATCATAGCATATACTTCCTTACAGGTGAGGTTGAGACACTTGTGTCATTACATATTTACTTCATTCATATTTTATATAATAAACATTAAATATACATAAATAGTCACTGTATAAAAGTATTACATTAAAATATAATAATAATTATAATAATAATTTATTATGAATTCAGCAGACACATTCATGCAACGTGAAATACAATGCATTCAAAGCATATGTAATTTTCCAGACTTTAGCTTTAAATTACATTTGTTTAGTTTTAGATAGAAAGTATGATGTAAAAAAATAGATTACTTACTTGTAGAACAGAATGACCCACTGGGCTGTTTTCAGGGAGCTCACCCTCATAATGTGACTTCTCAAATTTGGGCACGTTGTCATTGGCATCTGTAATGGTGATCCTGAGCAGGGCGCTACTCTGGCGGGGTGGAGAGCCACCATCGACCACTTTTATGTTGAGGTCATATGAATCTCGCTGCTCTCTATCCAGGTTGCCCAATACAATGAGTTGTGGCAATTTCTCATCTGAGTCTTGCGCCACCTGCAGGCTGAAAAGGTTGGCAGCTTCAGGGCCAGTCGTTAGAGCATAATCGGCAATGCCATTGCTTCCAGAATCCTTGTCAGTGGCCACAGGTATGGCAAAAAGCGCACCGACGTGCGTGTTCTCCGGGATCGACAATGTCAAGACGGGTGAAGAGAACTGTGGAGTGTTGTCGTTCTCATCCAAGATCTCGATGCGGCCTTCGATGAGCCGAGGTCCTGTGCCTTTCATCAGGTCTGTAATAGATACCTCAAATTCTAGGAAACAAGGATCGCCCTCGAAAAGGTTGCGACAGTCCTTGAGAGTCTCACGATCGATCGGGGTCTCTGTGGTGTAGATATCCCCTGTTTTGCCATCCACACGGAGGTAAGGAGCGCCCACCTCAAGCTTGTAAAGGTGACCAGTGTCTGGCAGGCCCTGGTCAGATGCCAGGCTGCCAATCAGTGTGTTAGGCGGCTGCTCCTCGGTCACCTGGTAGATGATGGTGCTGACAACATTTGCAGAGCAACAGAGGAGAAGGAAAATCCACACTAGCATGGCACTCCACCGTGACCACATCGCATTGGCACTCTGGCACATCATCAGTCTGTTGCTGCAAAAGATCAAGCAAACAAACAAATAAGATTAGTGAAACATTCATTCTTCAGACATAATCCTTCAAAGTCTCTGACAGTCCCAAAAAGCCTGTAAAGCGATGGTAGCCACAGAGTTTTATGGTACTGATTCCC